TTCCCCATTTCCCCATTCCCCATTCCTCCTTTCCCTATTCCCCTTTCCCCATTCCCCATTTCCCCTTTCCCCTTTCCCATTTCCCCATTCCATTTCCCATTTCCCATTTCCCTATTTCCTATTCCCCATTTCCCATTCCCTGTTTCCCCATTCCCCATTCCATTTCCCCATTCCATTCCCCATTTCTCATTCCCATTTCCCCATTCCCATTCCCCATTTCCCATTCCCCATTCCCCATTCCATTTCCCCATTTCCCCATTTCCCCATTCCATTTCCCATTTCCCCATTCCCCATTTCCCCATTCCCCATTTCCCCATTCTCCCATTTCCCATTCTCCCATTTCCCATTCTCCCATTTCCCATTCCATTTCCCCATTCCCCATTCCCGCATTCCCATTCCCCCATTCCCAATCCCTATTCCATTCCCCCATTCCCCCATTCCCATTCCCCATTCCCATTTCCCATTCCCCATTCCCATTCCCATTCCCCATTCCCATTCCCATTTCCCATTCCCATTCCATTTCCCATTCCCCATTTCCCATTTCCCTCCCTGCCCTGGGAGCTCTGTGCTCTCCTCAGCTCTCTGTAAATATTTTGGTTGGGTGAGCGGTGCTTTGGCAGCACAAGGTGCTCCCACTTCAACTCCCAAGTAATTCACAGAGACAAGCCAGGAAAACAGGAGATAGTAATTACATAAAACAAACATTTTCTCTTTCAGCTGAAACATTTGGATTTTTTTTTTTATTTACTATTAAAATGTGCTTTTAGTTGGAGCCTTCCTGGTGCTGGTGCTGCCGTGGGGAGCTGATCTGGGTGTGGGTTATGGGGCCCTAATGCAGCCAAAGTTTGGGAAGCTTTGAGCATCTAAAGCTCTGCAGAAATCCTAACGTGGAGACCAAACCAGCCCTAATTACCTTTTTATCAAGGAGATATTTTCAGGTTTGCTAATGGAAACCTCCTGTAGATGTGGATTTTAGTGTGGTTTCCCCTCCTACCCTTCAGGTATTCTTAAAAAGGTAGAAGTAGAAATTGTATTGGATTTATCCCCAGCAGCTTCTGGTTTTTCTCCCCATAAAATCATAATCCTTTGTCTCTGAAAGGAAAACATTTTTGTTTTGTGTGATTGGAGTGAAGAGGGAGCAGGGGGGAATCAATGGCTTTACACAAATGTATTTTAATGGAGTGGAGATGAGGACTGAAGGTTGCTTCAAACAGCATTATTGCCAAGGAGCCTCTTTCTTTATTTTTTATTTGTTTTTAAAGTTGCTTTCAGGATGGGACCTCCAGCTAATTGAATTCTGGTGTGTTCAGACCAAAAGTCATAAAGAATCCTTGTTCTGATGGCAATTCATATCTCTGCTCAGAAATCAGCTGGGAACTGGATTATTGATACCTAAATTCTGTCATTGGGATTTCAATGAAATTAATTAGAAATATTAAAGGAGCAACTTGATGTTTAGAATAAGACAAAAAGATTTTTTTAGGATTTTGTTTTCAGAACTTTCAGAATAAAAATATATTCACCAATACCTGATGGTAGAAGTACTAAAAAGAGAGGTTATCAGTGCTGACTTTAGCGTTAGATTTTTAAAAATTGATTCACTGATTCTCTTCCCATGCAGAATAAAATTTCAAAGTGTTGAGGTGTAGGGATTTTTTTTTTTCCATATTTCAGTGGTGAGATGCTCTGCACAAATTACCAGTGATCTTCTGAGCTCCCCAAAATAGTCTGCAAATAAAAATAGGGTGAAGTCTCCGTTAGCAGGCAGGAAACCACCAGGCAGGTTCTGTTCCTGTGTCCTTGACTGAATTGTAAAGATAATTTGCCTATTTACCCCCAAGGGCTACGTGGCAGAGTTTTTGCTTGATTGGGATTTTTGTGAGGTGAGTTATTGAGAAGATGAGAGGAGGACTTAGAGAAATGGTGGAGAAAATAAGTAAATAAATAAGTAAATAAATAAATAAATATATCCACCTTTCCCCCCCTTTCTCTCCCCTTTTTCCTCTTTTCCTTTTTTTCCCTGTTTTTCCTTTTTT